GCTGGCAGCCCTTCCCCTCCCTCAGGCAAGAGGCAACAAGGTTTGGCCCAAAAACCAAGGCCAAAACACAAAGTGTTAAGAGGCTCAAAGACAAGGCACTCAGCCGAGAACTTTGGGCGCTCGAAATAAGCACAAACATGCGTAATTATCGCTTGCACAAATGATGACGTCTGAGTCTTAAAGTCAGTCAAAAATGGGGTGTCTACAGCTGTTTACCTCTAGCCAATCTTTGCTGAGGGACATTTGAAATTTCCTCTATATGTCTTGTGTTTGTTGGTTGGTGGGTATTCATTCGATCCATGAAAGATGTTGCCCACCTTTTCATTATGTCCATTAATTGATGTCCCATGGCATCTACTAGGCCACCCTATGGATTCATTGGCTGAGTAGATGGAACAGTGGATGGTCCAATTCCTTGGCCTTGTCCAATATTTTGAACATGTGGTACTTGTTCTGAAGTGCTGGTCTGTTCGACCATAGGTTCTAACAGAACAGGTATTTCTAAAGGATGTGTTATCACATTATCCTCTGGATTAGGTATTTCTACCTCTCCTTCTACGCTTTTTTCCAAGCGTTCATTTTCTCATTGCCTCCTACGTCTAACCATTTCAATTAGTCCCACTAGGCATGCCAAAAATATATGTTGACTTTTTGGTTTTCCAAGGTTATTTTTGTAATTGTGAGCGTGCCAGAAAGGATCAATCAGTCCTTATAGAATATTAATTGTCAATCAATTATCAGACGATTGTATTTTAGTTCTTTCAGCCTCAATGAAGAGGGCTTTTACTGGTGGCTTTGTTTAGGAAAATTAAGTAAACAATGATTAAATGAGGAACAATTATAACATTTCATCAAGTAAAATGAAAGACTTACAAAGATCCAAATCAGCCTCGTAGAGGTTTACAGCAGCAAACTACTTAAAACTACTCCTATGAACGAAGTGCAGTGTAGAAATTTAAAGTACAGAAATGTAAAGAACAATAAATATAAAAACTGGAAAGGTCTAGGGGCCCTTTCTAAGACCTTCTCTGTTATTTATACTTCCCAATGACAACCGTCGAACCACCCCTCTATGGTCGCTGATCATGTTGCCTTATAGTTAGCTCCACTATGTCATATCTGCAGTTAGGCTTCCCTCTTGATTTTGAATTTAAATATGAATAACCGTTGAAGCCACGTCATTTTGCATTTCTTTGCTGATCTAGTGTTTATGCAGATCCACAATAACCAATACTAATTGACACGTGTGTGATTACGATTGAAGATTTGAATTATCTTCCCGTATTGCCCTTATCTTGCCACGTGTCGAACTGTAACTGGCTTATACAAAATATGTAGCCAACAATATATATAAAGTTTGATTCAGAAGTTATACAACTAAAAAAAAAAATTCATTGGGTTGCATATATATAGTTTGATTCAAAAGTTATAAAACTAAAAAAAAAAAATTGATTGGGTTGTATATATATATATGCATATATATAAAGTTTGATTCAGAAGTTATAAAACTAAAAAAAAAAATTGATTAGGTTGTATATATATATATATATGCATATATATATATATATATATATAAAGTTTGATTAAGAAGTTATACAACTAAAAAAAAGTTTGATTGGATTGTATATATATATAGTTTGATTCAGAAGTTATAAAACTTAAAAAAAGTTTGATTGGGTTGAACATATAAATATATGCATATACATATATATATAAAGTTTGATTCAGAACTTCTACCCAGAAAAGAAAAAAAAAAGAAGATGAAAGATGGTTTGATCTAAATTCTATGATTTCTTTATTTGATGAATATAATTAATTAAGTGATTTGGTGAGAAATATTGAACCAGTTTCAATTTATACATATGCAATCTTCACTGTACATACATACATGCATATATATATGTGTGTGTGTGTAAAATATAATTTTGGGGATGAATCAATTTGATGTGGGAGAAGGTTTAATGATGGCGTGAGAAGGGAGGGACTGCGGTGGTGGTGTGATGGATATGGGTGGTGGATTGAGAAAAGGAGAGAGAGAGAGAAGAGGTGAAGAAACAGAAGGTTGGAAATAAAATGGCATATTTTGTAAATTTGAAGAGGTAGAAAGGATATTTTTGTCATAAAAATGGACTCACTCTTTGTAGAGGCGCGTGACTTTCACATTCTATTATTTTAGACAGAAAAACTAACTTTGCGTTTTATTTCATCAATCACATGGGATTTTGTGATAATTTACGAATATCAGAGGATAAACCGCACCCGGCCCAATTCACATGGGGATAAAGTAAAATTTGCCCTAATATTAAATACACAAACGAAATTTTCATTAATAGAGATCCTTCATTTTAAAGTAAAGCATTCACAAACATGACTTATGTTAATGAAAATGATGCCGCCACATTATTCTTATAAATTTTTTTTATTTAATGTATATATAGAGTTTTTCTTGTCGGCTACACCGAATGTACAACACAATATTTTTTGAAAATTTTGATGCATCTAAATCCAAGCATTCATTTGTATATATATTGAAAAAAATAGAAAAGCGCATTTGGCCTTCATTTTTTATTGAAAAATTCAATCAATAAAATCATGTTTTTGTCAAATGCATGGAAAATTAACTTATTGAAAAATTCAATCAATAAAATCATGTTTTTGTCAAATGTATGGAAAATTAACTTATAAATATTTTTCGTTTTATATTGGGCTCGTTTGGTTTGATTTTCTGAAAAAATTTTGGGAAATTTTCTCTACAAATAAGTTTTCAAAAATAATCAAACCAAACAAATTTTCTCAAAAAAATTTCTCAAAACTTGTAAACCAAACAAGTTTTCCAAACAAATCTCTCTCTCACACATATCAAATCAATCACTTTTTCCAAAACTCTATCTCAAAATAATTTTCCAAAACATCTTTTAAAAAAAATCAAACCAAACATGTTTTCGTACTTTTTATCTCTAAAACACATCTCTCAAACACAAACCAAACATACCCATTATATTTAGATCATCTTAAAATTTGATTTGTTCATTGTGAATACATTTATAATCATTTGATCAAGTAATCAAATATACAGAGCTTGAAAGTCTTTCTACCTTCATTCTTACATTTGGGGGTATTGGCGTATCAGTGGTGGTTCTTACATTTAGGCTCTATTTGTTTGGACAGACTAGATTAGGTTGGATTAATATTTTTATAATTAATAGTTTCACGACTACGAATTTTTCAGATTATATATCCTATTCTATGTTTGGATTGAATTAGAATTATAGGGAGGGACTAATAGTCCAGATTTTGACTTGGAGGTTATTTGTGGTGTCTTAAATAAATACACTTTTTATCTTTTTGGACTAAAAAGTTAAGGAAAAAATATAGATGTTTGGATTAACTTTTTGACTTTTTTATGAAAAAATGTGTATTAAAATATTGTATAAATAAGTGTGTAGGAGAAGATAATTAATTAATCCGTACGGGTTGGGCAGTGCATTTGGCTGCGTAGGACATGGGAAAAGATTGCCTCATGTTCGGGTTTTGATTGGACGGTGTTGTTCGGCCCATGAGGGCCTACCATGGGTCCCGTTTTTCTAATCGGAACCGTTTAATGTGTAGAAATCGTCGAATACTATATGCTCGTAAAAAATTACGTTGATTGGATATCGATAGCTATCTGATCGTGTTAGTTTTTTTGTCAACTGTCAACTATAACACCATCCATTTTTTTATACAAAACTGATTTGATCATGTAGTTAGCGATATTCAATAGACGTGATGTTTTACAGGCATATAGTACTAGACGAGTTCTACATATTAGGCGGTTCAGATTATCAAAACAGAACCCATAGTGGGCCCCCACAGGCCCAACTTTACCGTCCGAAAGCCTCGTTTGGGAACAGGCTAATTTAGTAACTTTTTGGCTATTTGGCTAAAAAGGTAGGTAAAAAAAACTTGTATGTTTGGAATGACTTTTTGACTAATTACGAAAAGATGTGCAAAAAGTAGAAAGAAAAGAGAATCTTTGACTTTTTGGTATGGGTTGCTGACTTTTTGACTAATTTAGTAACTTTTTGACTAATTGACTAAAATAACCTCTTGCCAAACGAGTTCATATACACATGTAAAAAAAAAAATTCTTGCCTTTGCGTTGACATCCATACCTAAGTTGGCGCAAAACTAATTTGTATTTTAATATTTATATATTAAATTTTTTTTTTAATGAATAGTAATAACTTTTTAACTTTTTTTAGTAATTTTTTAACTTTTTTAAAATTGCCAAACCAGCCCTTAATCCTCTAATTTATATCCCACCCCCCTCTATCAGAATGTATAGTCCATCATAAATAGAATACTATATTCGAATAGATTGTTAATCCATACTTCAATTATTTAACCAAATATCAAATTAATAATTTTATTAGACTATTAATCTAATCTCAAGCTCATGTCCACCCAAAACAAACATAACAAAGTAATGGTGTGGTGGAATTGCCGTAGATTGTGGCAGTAGTGGATGCTGAGGAAAAGGGCATATTTTGTCTCAGAAGTATCCAATTCCGTATCTTTGAAATAAATCTTTTCACAAGTGCCGTAACAAGAAGATTTGGATGGAATCACATTTCTATTCATACACAGTATTATTACTGGCATTCAAGCATCGGATACATATGGCAAAACTAACATCATCCATGCACATATTGCAAGATCCATTTGAATCTGCAACCAGCAACTCATTGATATTTTTCAGACAAAAATATTGTAGAAACAGCAGGCACTTGAAGCGGCTGGCTGCTGCATAAACATCCACATTTTGGTATAATTATGGCCTTACTTTTGTGCAAAATATTGAGAGGCCAAACCACCGCATAAGGTTGGCATTAATGTTTCACCTGACCACAGCACAGCCCAATCATTGGCTTAGTAGTCACAGGCAACTAGCATGGGAGGCGCATAGTCTCCAAGCAGCAGCAATGACCAGTCTTTTAACACATTCGACTCAGTGACGATCATCAGCAACCATAATATTCCCACCACTAGAATTATCAAATAATCCACACTACCACAATTAGTATTCCTTTACAGCCAAAATTTTAGACTAAAAGAGTCACAGTTATACCACAATAAAAGTATTAGGAAAAGAAAAAAAGAAAAAAAAAACCAGAATTCTTATTGATTAAGAGGAGCCCATAAAAAAGAACCAAACAAAACAAAGAAACTATTCTCCAGTCCCTTCTTCTCATCCATCAAATATTTTAATTGACACAAGTTTGAGAGGGTCATCGTGGGACAACCAACACCCAAAACTCTGGAAGAGAGAATCTTTAAGAACCCAAAGGTTTAACTTGTCAGACCCACAACTACAATCACCCGCATATCCGTCTTCACATATTCACAGTTGAGCACCACCTTCAACAAGAGCCCCAGTGAAAGTAACAGTGATTTGCACTCGAACACCATTGAGCTCATGCCTTCCTCAAACACAGTCTGCCACCAAAAGGACACATCAAACATCAAACACCAAACAAAAGATCAGCAAATTGTGCATTCATACTATCGGTCCAATAACAAGTAGACAAAACATGAACAAAATCCACCAAATCTCTCAGAAACTGAGAGACTCTCTGTGCAGTTTTGATAATCAAGATCCCCGAAGCTCGCTCTCCAAAAACAATGAAAATTAATTCTTATTCTAATATCCTTAACTGAGAAACAAAAGACAGAAGAGAAAAACATCATTTAATACGACTTCAGAAAACAGTTCCCAAATTTTGACCCTGTTTTCAGTTTCTGTGTATTTCTACAACACACAGCAGACAAATGTTTCTTAAACACTCCACCAACCATTCCCTAAATTTTCTAGTTTAAATTCAAATGAACAATACTTCTTTCTTTGACAAGAATTTTATTTATACATATATATACACACACACTAGATGTACAACGAAACTTGAGACGCATCACCAAAAGGATACAAAGAGCCATTCAGATGGCCAAACATCACCACCAGGGAAACCCAACCCAAGCCTACATTCTGATCATACCACAGAAACTGGAGTGCAAAAAAATACAAATCTAACATGAACTCTCACAACCTGAGAGTGTTAGGTGGAAAAAAGCAGTGGAGAGAGAGAGAGAGATGCTACCATTGTTGATTCTTCCTGAACTCAGTAAGGACAGGGTATATGTTCTCGAAGGCTGTATATGTCTCATCCCTCACCTGTGAATAAAAAATGACAAGCCAGTGACAGGCATGAAAAACAGCATAAAAAATCCAGATATTAATAGATACCAAGAAAAATCCATCATTACCTTGGCTCCCGTAAGGACAATCTTTCCAGAAACAAAGATGAGTAGCACAATCTTTGGTTGCTTCATACGATATATTAAGCCTGGAAATAGTTCTGGTTCATACTACACCAAGACAACACAAATGAGTCCTGTCAAAGTGCATATTCAGAGCATATGGTACAGCAGAAGTCTACATTCTATCCTACATACAAATTATAAATTTTTAACATCAAACGTCGGATAGGTAGACATAAAATTGATTTACTTTGTGACTCCTCAAATGACAGCAGACAAAGGAATGTGATACTATGATTAATAAAAGAACATTGCAAGAAACCAATATTCAACAGTTGGAGAAACTTTTAAAAGAGGCTTGCCACTCACACTTGAAAAGGCACCATGGGAATATGCAAGACCTTCAAGTCTGATGGGAAATTTTACGTCACAGGAACCAACTATGTTCTGAATCTTGAAATCCTACATATCAGAATAATAAAAATTAATGAGGGGAACAATAAAAATTAATCAACCTAGCAGTAACCAGCATGTACATGTAACTGTATTTTATCACACAGAACAGAAGACAGATGGGTTGGGTGGTGTACCTTGAATTTGGCAGGAAACCCAAGCTTTTGAATAATTCGTGCATACTAGAAGAGAAAAGTTCAGGCCAGATCAAGGAAACTCCTTAGTTACATTGGTCACCAAAATGCAATACATGCATATAATATTATCATAATGATTAAAATATCAGCAATTACAACAAGGATTTTGCATGATTAAGTTTTCAAAACACAGTTCAAGAAGATTGTAGCTGATACAGACATACAGGCCTGGATTTCAATCAAGAAGCTTTAAAAAAAAATTAAAACCAAAAAAAAAAATACTATGAACAGATAATATCTTAGTTTAAAAATGGATATAGAATATAAGTGAAAGACCATTTTTTAAATTTTAGGGCGAATTCCACTAATAGTCCCTATAACTTGGGGCTAGTGTTACTTTGGTCCTGACTTTTCAATTATGACACATTTGATCATGAATTTTAAATCTTATTCCAAATAAGGATAATTAAAGATACCATTGCTTAATTTCAAAGGCAAAATCGTCAATTTGATAAAATATAAACTAATTTGACAAAAATAAAACAACATATTTTAAAAATTTTAAAAATTACTTCTACCCACCAAAGATAAAATTATGTAAAATTGATAAATCTTTTAGATATTTATTATTTTTTTTTTATCAAATTAATTTTTATGTGTTTGGATAATAATCATGTAATGGATGATTGTTAGGATTTTAATATGTAATTGATATATTTAATATATGAAATGTTTTTAGTTTTGAATTTTTTTGATTTAATGGATTGGTTAAATAATGATATTAAAATTGTTGCCATATTTGACTTTTGAAAAAATAAAAATTAATTTAATGAAAATAAAAACTAGATCATCATCCAAACATATAATAAATAGTTTGATAAAAATGAAGAAATAAATAAATGTACACAAGATTTATCAATTTTACATAATTTTATCTTTAGTGGGTAGAAATAATTTTTAAAAATTCAAAAATATTTTTTTGACATTTATTTTTATCAAATTAGTTTATATTTTATCAAATTGACAATTTTACTCTTAAAATTAAGCAATGGTATCTTCAATTGTCCTTATTTGAAACAAGGTTCCAAATTCAAGGTTAAATATGTCACAATTGAAAAGTTAGGGACCAAAGTGACACAAGCCCCAAACTATAGAGACCGTTAATGTAATTCGTCCTACATTTTATAGCTATGGTGATGATCGAACTTACGAATTTGCATTTCAACCCAACTCCACAAGCCTTTGTCCCATAACTTGGGGTCAACTAAGACTTACTAATTTGCATGCTAAATGCATTTCAAATCATTGTATACCTTTCTCAAGTCCCAAATTATAGAGATCGTTAGTGTAATTCACCCTAAATTTTACAGCTATGGTGATTGATCAAACTTACAAATTTGCATTTCAACCCAACTCCACAAGCCTTCGTCCCATAACTTGGGGTCAACTAAGACTTACTAATTTGCATGCTAAATGCATTTCAAATCATTGTATACCTTTCTCAAGTCCCAAATTATAGAGATCGTTAGTGTAATTCACCCTAAATTTTACAGCTATGGTGATTGATCAAACTTACAAATTTGCATTTCAACCCAACTCCACAAGCCTTCGTCCCATAACTTGGGGTCAACTAAGACTTACTAATTTGCATGCTAAATGCATTTCAAATCATTGTATACCTTTCTCAAGTCCCAAATTATAGAGATCGTTAGTGTAATTCACCCTAAATTTTACAGCTATGGTGATTGATCAAACTTACAAATTTGCATTTCAACCCAACTCCACAAGCCTTCGTCCCATAACTTGGGGTCAACTAAGACTTACTAATTTGCATGCTAAATGCATTTCAAATCATTGTATACCTTTCTCAAGTCCCAAATTATAGAGATCGTTAGTGTAATTCACCCTAAATTTTACAGCTATGGTGATTGATCAAACTTACAAATTTGCATTTCAACCCAACTCCACAAGCCTTCGTCCCATAACTTGGGGTCAACTAAGACTTACTAATTTGCATGCTAAATGCATTTCAAATCATTGTATACCTTTCTCAAGTCCCAAATTATAGAGATCGTTAGTGTAATTCACCCTAAATTTTACAGCTATGGTGATTGATCAAACTTACAAATTTGCATTTCAACCCAACTCCACAAGCCTTCGTCCCATAACTTGGGGTCAACTAAGACTTACTAATTTGCATGCTAAATGCATTTCAAATCATTGTATACCTTTCTCAAGTCCCAAATTATAGAGATCGTTAGTGTAATTCACCCTAAATTTTACAGCTATGGTGATTGATCAAACTTACAAATTTGCATTTCAACCCAACTCCACAAGCCTTCGTCCCATAACTTGGGGTCAACTAAGACTTACTAATTTGCATGCTAAATGCATTTCAAATCATTGTATACCTTTCTCAAGTCCCAAATTATAGAGATCGTTAGTGTAATTCACCCTAAATTTTACAGCTATGGTGATTGATCAAACTTACAAATTTGCATTTCAACCCAACTCCACAAGCCTTCGTCCCATAACTTGGGGTCAACTAAGACTTACTAATTTGCATGCTAAATGCATTTCAAATCATTGTATACCTTTCTCAAGTCCCAAATTATAGAGATCGTTAGTGTAATTCACCCTAAATTTTACAGCTATGGTGATTGATCAAACTTACAAATTTGCATTTCAACCCAACTCCACAAGCCTTCGTCCCATAACTTGGGGTCAACTAAGACTTACTAATTTGCATGCTAAATGCATTTCAAATCATTGTATACCTTTCTCAAGTCCCAAATTATAGAGATCGTTAGTGTAATTCACCCTAAATTTTACAGCTATGGTGATTGATCAAACTTACAAATTTGCATTTCAACCCAACTCCACAAGCCTTCGTCCCATAACTTGGGGTCAACTAAGACTTACTAATTTGCATGCTAAATGCATTTCAAATCATTGTATACCTTTCTCAAGTCCCAAATTATAGAGATCGTTAGTGTAATTCACCCTAAATTTTACAGCTATGGTGATTGATCAAACTTACAAATTTGCATTTCAACCCAACTCCACAAGCCTTCGTCCCATAACTTGGGGTCAACTAAGACTTACTAATTTGCATGCTAAATGCATTTCAAATCATTGTATACCTTTCTCAAGTCCCAAATTATAGAGATCGTTAGTGTAATTCACCCTAAATTTTACAGCTATGGTGATTGATCAAACTTACAAATTTGCATTTCAACCCAACTCCACAAGCCTTCGTCCCATAACTTGGGGTCAACTAAGACTTACTAATTTGCATGCTAAATGCATTTCAAATCATTGTATACCTTTCTCAAGTCCCAAATTATAGAGATCGTTAGTGTAATTCACCCTAAATTTTACAGCTATGGTGATTGATCAAACTTACAAATTTGCATTTCAACCCAACTCCACAAGCCTTCGTCCCATAACTTGGGGTCAACTAAGACTTACTAATTTGCATGCTAAATGCATTTCAAATCATTGTATACCTTTCTCAAGTCCCAAATTATAGAGATCGTTAGTGTAATTCACCCTAAATTTTACAGCTATGGTGATTGATCAAACTTACAAATTTGCATTTCAACCCAACTCCACAAGCCTTCGTCCCATAACTTGGGGTCAACTAAGACTTACTAATTTGCATGCTAAATGCATTTCAAATCATTGTATACCTTTCTCAAGTCCCAAATTATAGAGATCGTTAGTGTAATTCACCCTAAATTTTACAGCTATGGTGATTGATCAAACTTACAAATTTGCATTTCAACCCAACTCCACAAGCCTTCGTCCCATAACTTGGGGTCAACTAAGACTTACTAATTTGCATGCTAAATGCATTTCAAATCATTGTATACCTTTCTCAAGTCCCAAATTATAGAGATCGTTAGTGTAATTCACCCTAAATTTTACAGCTATGGTGATTGATCAAACTTACAAATTTGCATTTCAACCCAACTCCACAAGCCTTCGTCCCATAACTTGGGGTCAACTAAGACTTACTAATTTGCATGCTAAATGCATTTCAAATCATTGTATACCTTTCTCAAGTCCCAAATTATAGAGATCGTTAGTGTAATTCACCCTAAATTTTACAGCTATGGTGATTGATCAAACTTACAAATTTGCATTTCAACCCAACTCCACAAGCCTTCGTCCCATAACTTGGGGTCAACTAAGACTTACTAATTTGCATGCTAAATGCATTTCAAATCATTGTATACCTTTCTCAAGTCCCAAATTATAGAGATCGTTAGTGTAATTCACCCTAAATTTTACAGCTATGGTGATTGATCAAACTTACAAATTTGCATTTCAACCCAACTCCACAAGCCTTCGTCCCATAACTTGGGGTCAACTAAGACTTACTAATTTGCATGCTAAATGCATTTCAAATCATTGTATACCTTTCTCAAGTCCCAAATTATAGAGATCGTTAGTGTAATTCACCCTAAATTTTACAGCTATGGTGATTGATCAAACTTACAAATTTGCATTTCAACCCAACTCCACAAGCCTTCGTCCCATAACTTGGGGTCAACTAAGACTTACTAATTTGCATGCTAAATGCATTTCAAATCATTGTATACCTTTCTCAAGTCCCAAATTATAGAGATCGTTAGTGTAATTCACCCTAAATTTTACAGCTATGGTGATTGATCAAACTTACAAATTTGCATTTCAACCCAACTCCACAAGCCTTCGTCCCATAACTTGGGGTCAACTAAGACTTACTAATTTGCATGCTAAATGCATTTCAAATCATTGTATACCTTTCTCAAGTCCCAAATTATAGAGATCGTTAGTGTAATTCACCCTAAATTTTACAGCTATGGTGATTGATCAAACTTACAAATTTGCATTTCAACCCAACTCCACAAGCCTTCGTCCCATAACTTGGGGTCAACTAAGACTTACTAATTTGCATGCTAAATGCATTTCAAATCATTGTATACCTTTCTCAAGTCCCAAATTATAGAGATCGTTAGTGTAATTCACCCTAAATTTTACAGCTATGGTGATTGATCAAACTTACAAATTTGCATTTCAACCCAACTCCACAAGCCTTCGTCCCATAACTTGGGGTCAACTAAGACTTACTAATTTGCATGCTAAATGCATTTCAAATCATTGTATACCTTTCTCAAGTCCCAAATTATAGAGATCGTTAGTGTAATTCACCCTAAATTTTACAGCTATGGTGA